GTATCTGCTTCTGAAGCCAGTAGTTAGAATCTGAGTTCATCAGTTTTTTAAATCACTTTGTCCACTGAACTTAGGGGCAACCAACCAGCTTCATGATGTTCCTTGGCTCTCCACATATGGTCAAAGGTGTTATGCAGAGTCACAAGACCCCTTGTCTCTCACAAGCAGTGAATTATGAGTGTCAAATGCATTTATTTTGCATAGTTCTCTAAACAGTTTACACCAAGTAAACTGTAATATCAGGAAGTAAACTGTAATATCAGGAAGTAAACTGTAATATCAGGAAGTAATATCAGTGCTCTTCATACTATTAGAGTCCTTTGCATTTTTGGGTCTAATCATACTAAGCAGCCAACTCCTGAAACCCCCACACCAACAGAAGAACTTCATCCTTAATATTCCATTCCTCTAGAACCACTCCTGGTAACAAAATCTGTATCAGTCTGGATTCTCTAGAGGGACAGAACTAATAGGACAGATATATATGTATACAGGGGGTATTATTACATATTAACTCACATGTCCACAAGGTCCCACAATAGACTCTCTGCAAGTTGAGGAGTAAGGATAGGAGAAGGCAGAGGAGCCTCACCCCATAGCCACCACCACCAGTGGCCACGAGGAATACTGCTAGACTAGCAGTGATGTTCTTTTAATGTCTAATATCTGTTAAGAAACGAGGTCAACAGATCGAGACCATCCTGGTCAACATGGTGAAACCCCCGTCTCTACTAAAAATACAAATACAAAAAATTAGCTGGGCATGATGGCACGTGCCTGTAATCCCAGCTACTCAGGAGGCTGAGGCAGGAGAATTGCCTGAACCCAGGAGGCGGAGGTTGCAGTGAGCCGAGATCACGCCATTGCAACAATCTCGCGCCTGGGTAACGAGCGAAACTCCTTATCGCTTGTGGTGAGTGCTGCCTGGCTTGGGACTCACCCTTTATGCCAATGCAGGTCCAGAAATGCCACCCCAAGAGCCTCCTCAGTGCTCTGCCCCGCTGTGGTGGTGGTAGCTAAGTTTCAAGACACAGTTCCCTTTACTTTTCCCTCTGCTTTTTACTTAAACAAAAGTTTTGCCACCACAGCTGGTAGCTGAGTCTCATCTGAAGCCAGCAAGTCTCAAAGGCTCACCAAGGCCCTTGGTAAAGTACCTGGGTGTCACTGCTAGCTCTTCAGGGCCCAAGAGCTCTTCAGTTAGTGAGTGATGAATGATGGCACCCTGGGAGCTTTTCTTCAAGGCACTGGGTTCCCTTCTGACCCAGATGTGTTTAGCAATGTCATCTGGGAACCAGGGCCTGAAACGGGGCTTCATGACTATGACCAGTGCCCTATCCTGCTGTTATTGAGCTAGTGTCCAAGTTTCAAGACAAAGTCCTCCCCATCTTCTCTCTCCTATCCACAAGTAGAAGGAAGGAGTCTCTTTTGTAGCCATGAGCTATGCAGCCTGGGATCAGGAAAAGGATGATGCCCGAACTCTCGTGGTTTCCCTAGCTAGTGTCTCTGTATGGTGCATGCCCAACCCCCATCCACTGCCTCTGAGTCCCGTTCAGCCCTAGGACAGAGCTAAAAATTTCAGTCCTTATGGCCTAGGTTGCCTTTCAGGTTTACTAGAGACCAAGAGCACTTTGGCCCCTGGTGGCAAGGGTTGTAGGCACTCAGGTGTGGTCCACAGGAATTGGTGATAACCCTCTGACTATAGCTGGTTTAAATGCTCCCTCTGTGAGCGGTCATCAGCTATGTTTGGTCTGGTTTTCCTTTCTGTTTTAACAGCATAGCACTGAGTTCAATGCCTCACAATTGTGTTCTCTTTCCCCCAGCATCCAGAGATGCTCTGTGACAGCTCTCTGCTGTCAGGGATAGCCGGTGGTGAATGGCATTAGTTCTTGCCATTCCTCCATCGGGGGAATGGCACCTGTCATTGCATGGGGTAATCAGTGAAGCTTTCTGTTCCACCATCTTGCTCTGAAATCTCTTTAAAAAAATTTTTAAAATCTTGAAAAGTTTCTGACCATAGTCCTTAAATTTTCAGGCCATTCTATACTGTATTTTCAAAATGCTTTTAGTTTAACTGTGTAATCATAACAGTATGAGGCAGAAATTCTAAAGATAACCTTTTCAGTATTTCCATATTATATTCTAAATTAAAAAGGCATTCCAGTAACTGAAAAAAGAGCATTAGAATCTGATGGTTTATGTCTGCTTCATTATGCTGTTTTATTGGTACAATTGCTCAAAGTTTTTATATCCATTTGAAATACCTCTTTCAAAATCCACAGCCAGCAGTCACGAAATTTGTGATAGTTATGCTTTTACCAGATACTAAAAACACATTTAAAACACAATCCTAGAAATATTCACATATCAATTTGACTTCCATAAAAAATGTTTTAACTGGTGATATCCATAAATTCAATTCAGTATTATCTATTTCTTCATAGCACTTTTCAGTATCTAACAGATTACTGCATGTTTATTACTACTTGTCTCTGACACTGGAATGAATGCAGCATAAAAACAGGGGTTTATCCCTTATGCACTGTTGGTTCTCCAGCATGTGGACTTATGACTAGCAATTGGGAGTTCCCCAATAATAATAACTGAAAGAATGAATGAATTCCAGTCTATTCAGTGAAAAGTAAACCTTTCGGACACTGGATGAATAAGACCTGATCTCTACTCTCAAAGATTTAAAAAATCAAATGTTGGATAAATAATCATTTAAAACCATATTTCTTGCTATGTAAGAGAAATGTATAAACAAAATAACTTTTGAAATAAACAATAAATTTTGAAAGGAAGATAATGAAAGTTTATTTTTTAGATCAAATCTAAAGAATACAATTACCACATATGTAGAAGAGCATTTCAACTAACATAATCATAAAATAAAGTTGTGGGGTTTTTTTTTTTTTTTTTGGGAGGGGGGAGACAGCATAGCATGCTGACCTATCGGGAGTGCTATAGCATTAAACATTGACAAGCATTCACACTAGAAAAACAAATTGACACCAAACTAACCACAGTCTTCAATACTTTGATGAAAGTTAAGAGTTGTGTTTTTGTTTCTATTTTTTAATGCTTTTGAAACTCTGAGCAGTAGTATAACTTTATCAAATCTGTGTTTGGTGGTAAAATAGGTAGATTTGAAGCTGAGGAGGCAATCAGCTGGGATACAAGTCCAGAGATCATTACTAGAGTTTAGCTGAGAGATAATGAGAACTGGAATTAGAATAGGGACAGTAGAAATGAAGATAAAGAAACAATTTGGAAGTAATATCAAAAGGGATTGTAGACAATTTGACATATTTGGTAAAACAGAGGGAGGAATAAAAATGTCTCCAGAGTCATACACAACTGCGTACATGGTAAAGCTGTGAATTTAGATCAGAAGCTGAAAGTATATCCTTTCCTAAAACCTCCAGCGAGTACCTCTACTTATCAATTAAATTCCTCCAAAATTTTCATTTGAATTAATTTTCAGTCTCAATGATCTATCAAGCTTTTGTTACTGTTACTATTCATTTCAGTTCTTTTACTTTACCAAGCATACAAAATATTCCAACCTTCTCAGTCCATCATGTAATAAACTTGCACACTACCCTGTATCAGTGTACCCACTGACTAAATGACATATTCAGTCAACAAACACTTCCCAATCGGGGAAGACCACATTCCCATCTTCATGTCATAATTTTTTGGATAGTTGGAATTACTACAGATAACTTCAATAGCTATTCTGACTTTAGTGGACACTGTAACTTGCTACTTGGATCCATCAATTCAGAAATGTCACCTCAGCTGTTGGGATTATTAGAGGAGGCCAGCCAACAGGGAGAAATCATATGCCCCCTTAGAGATGGCCTGAGTTGAAGAGATTGCACAAGGTCACATCTTTTCCTAGGGTAAAACACATCATTACTGAAGATGAGGATGTTTAAAGATCCTACTTGGGGCAACACCGAAGGACCACTTTTATTCCAAAGCTTCCTGTGGAGTTCCCGAGAGTGTATCTCAAACTGATTTCTCTCTGCCTCTCTTACTTTCTCCTACAATCTTGATCCGGTTTTTCTCTCAAAGATGCTCCTTAACATTCTGCACACTAGAGTCAATCTCTGACTCCATTTCCAGGTAACTTAAACTATAACCCTGATACAACTGACCTTTTCACTGTTTATTTTACCTCCTTTTCTTTTAGGAAGTCCTAGAGTCCAGTATAGATCAGATTTTAGCAGTGTTTTTCATTTCTGCTTCTTATTCAACTGCTGCCTCTCAATTCCAGACGTATCCTCTTACACTATTTTGGTAATGCTGGCTTAGTGTTAGGGGATACCAGTTGAGGGCTCTAAAGGGACAATGGAACACTGGAAAGAAAGCAACAGACACACTCCTTTGCACTTGCTTCCAGTTCCTGTCAATGTCAACATAACATAGCAGTGGCTGTTCATTCTGCCAGAAACACTTGATTACAGTAGGAACAACTGCTTCCAGTTTGCCGTCTGTCTGTCATTCCAGAACCAGCCCCATCATGCTCTTCAGAGAGACTTGTGCCAGCCACAACTTGTCCTCAGCAATCTGAACTTCAGCTCCAGAGGAACCTTCTTTTCCATTGCATGATTTTAATAATTTCTTCTCTTTATTCTTCAGCGCTGGGAGTGGCAGCCGTTTTCTAGAATTACATACTCCGGGATCCTTCGGTATTCACATTTGGCCTCTTTGGCTTGTGAATACTTAACATTTTATAATATAATATTCTTCCTGTTTATGCCTCCTCAGATCCTGATAAGATTATTTTTATATAAAACTTAATAAAGTCCGTGAGTTAAAAAGAAAACTTTTATCTGTACAATAAATAGTATTTGAGAAAAGTATAAAATAGAAAAAATACAGTCATAAAAACACAAGTTATTATTCAGTTAATTGGAAAATTTCTTAAAAATTTTATATTTTAGTTTAATAATATGATTAATAACCTGTGAATATAGCCAATAGATCTTTTGATTTAGTTATCTATGTATATTTTAACCATGTAGGCATATAGAGAATAACTTTTGAAAGGCTTAGTGCAAGTATCTAAGAATTGATATTTTAAAACTCTAAGACCTTGATTTATCAGTATTGAAAGTTAGAGAATAATATAAATTCGGGAGCTGTGCATTTAAAATCTCTGGTTACAACTGAAAAACGAAAATATTTTCTAACTCTAGTGAAAAAGCCGACGAACTTACTGTATGAAAAAAGTGTTGTATAAAAGCAGGCTTTAGATATGCAAAATTGGAAAGATATAGGAAAATAAATAGGATCTATTACTTGATTTCTTTTATTCAAATTCATACCCATAGCCACTATCACCACCCTCTCTAAATAATCCTTCTTTCAAAACAAAACAAATAAAAATAGTATTTTTCCCAATAAAACATAAGATTATAAAACATAAAATATGAGTTTGTCATTACAAAATGTACTGTAAATATTTGAGGCCATTGTTTAACCATTTTATTAACCCTTTGTGTGTTGTAGCAATAATTTGAGGTTAATTTGCCTTAATGAAAATTATTTGAAAAGATAACCTCATGAAGAACTATAATTAATAAGTTTAATTTTCACTGAAAACATTTCAGAAATAAGGCAAGATAAATATATTTTATTCAAAACACATTTTAATATCTAACTTTATAACTCTCACATATAAACATAGTACCTCACACAGTGAACCAAAATTAATATTTACTGAATGACTCAATCTATTTATCACATTTTTGCAAATGTCATTGTTGCATTTATATTTATTTCTTGAGAAACATAAATCTTGTTTTATTAATCACAGAATTTAAATTACATTCAGTGCTATCCACTTTAGCTCCTTGTTTTCATTAAAGTTTTCAGTCCAGAGTTGTAGTGAGTGTTAAAATTAGTAAGTTTTGAAAGTGAGAAATTGAAGCAAAAGAAGCAAGATAATTTTCTAGAAATGTTAATCTGTGTTTCTTATTTTTGTTATGCAATGTAAGTACTCTTGGAAATGCAATCTGAGAATACTCTAACAATTTTTAAAATAAGAAAGGATACATGTATACTTTTAAAAATATTTATGCACCTAAATGATATGTATTTTACTCCAACTATTAAAATTTTGAAATTAGCACACACAGTACCTTATACATTTCTGCATATCTTTATTGTTTGCTGTTATTAAAGTGATACCATATCTATAACCACAAGCTGTGCTTTTCATCCTACTCAATGAAAGACTTAAATAGTTAAATGTCCCTTGACTGATCATTTGCCATCATTTTCTTAGTCAATAACATGTATTCTCTGATATTTTCTTCACAATGAACTTATAGTTCAAATGGCATTACCAGAAAGTCTGGTTTCAGCAAAGATCAAAATGTGACTTCCTTGTTGCTGTTGCATTCATGTCTGAATGGTAGTTTAGCTAGCTGTAAATGTCTTAGCTCACACTTTCCTTTCTTGAAGATTGTCTAAGTAGTTTTTCACTATCATTATAAAATTGATTATCGCTGTGGAGAAGTTCAAGGTCGGCCTATTTTTTCACCATATAGAAGAATCAAATCTCTTTTTTTCTGGCTACTCAAGGCATTTATATATATGAAATTCGACATTCAACTAACTTACAGAGTTTATTTTCTAGTAGATAATTTAACTCACTTTTTTTCTGGGCTATAATATTCCCTTTAAAGGAGTAAATTCAAGTGTTTCTTTATATCTAAAACATTTTATTTTTTTAATAGAATCTCTAAATATTATTCTTCATTCCACTATTGAGATCATACCAATTAGAAGATAATAGTTAAGTGTTTATTAAATCTTGTTTGAAAAAGAATGCTTAATTTTCTTTGTATCTTCAATTTTTAAAATTTTTTTACTCTATTTTGCTCAATGTTTAAGTCTTGTCCTTTGTTTTCCCTACTATGATTCTGCAACTGTCTGTAATATTTCTACTGCTTCTCATTTAGCCTTTTGAAAATATGGAACACTTCATGCATGCTTTATTTCTATGAGAGTTTTTACTTACTACATTTATTTTCTGTCTGAACAGCTTAGTTTTCTTCTCACCATTTCTTCCGTGTGAAGACATACTTAGTGCTCTTATGTTATGAAGATAACTGCCTCAATGACTTCATAATTAAGTGTGACATTTTCGTGCTGACGTTAGCAGGTCCACAGCAACGATTTTGGGATTTGCATTCTTCCTTTGGTTGGTTCTCCTTGCGCTTCCTTTTCTTTCCTGTTTTATTATATTTACTTTGTATTAGTCCATTACTGTGTGAATTATTTCTCTTCTTTGAACCACGTAACTTTTGCTGTAAGAGAATCTAGGTTCATGTACTTGGTTGCCAGAATTTCGCTCGTTTTAGGATTGTGTGTGAATGAGATCTCCCCAGCCAGTGAAGATTAGCACCCCAGGGCTGTTCCCAATGGTGGAATCTCTTCCCCTCTTTGCCACAACAGTATGTTCCTCTCCAGATATATGGATGGTCCATGTGTCCATTTATCACTGCTTGCCAGATGATCAAGCAGCAAGATGTTACAGTGTTTGCCTTAAGTTTCATGGTTGAAGATATGGCTGTTGCTTCATACGTCAGGTTGTACTACTCACTTGATAAAGTACTATGTATGCTTTTATAAGATTCCTGGCAATGGACGGTATGCTGAGCTACACATTTCTGCACTCATTATGCATCCTTCTGAACATTTAGAATACCTCCGCCTCCATTTTGCACTTCAGAATTTTAGATATCTCTTGGTTTCTTTGAAATTGCTATTTATATTTTGATCCTTATTTTCTATTTGTTCCTCAGTGATCTCCAAGGGAAGAAAAATGAAAATGAAGGCTTTCTTCTGCGATTTAAAAATGTATATTCTCTCAGATATTTAGAAAAAAGAAAATAGCTATATTAGTCAAGAATTGTGATATTGATTTTATCACTAAGGAAAGAAGGTAGTTGTACTTTCTTTTAATGTTTTCTAGTCTAACACTTGTTATTAGGTAATTTATCTTTGTTCATCATTTTCTTATTCTCTCTATAGTCTGTTTTTATTTTTATCCACTATAGATTTCTTTCACATACTTCCTCCAATTTCTTTAGTTTACCTTTTTATTTCTCTATGTTTATCTATTTGTTATATAACATTCATCAGAAGGTACTATAATTTTTAGATTTTTTTATAATGAGAGGTGGAAGACTGGCAAAAATTAGTTCAGATGGCAATGGAATCAAACATTGTCATGTCCTTAATTACTCCCAATTCATAGTTTCTTCAAATAACAGTGGATTCCTATTTGTTTTATGCCCACCTAGCTTCCACTAGGCATTCACATTTCCTACCAGTCCTTCCCTTATCATTATTTCAACCAACTGTGTATTTGTACCAAATCTAGGCATGTTTTCCACCAAAATGATATGGGAATCAACTAAAAACACATAGATGAATGTGTTCAATTTATTTTGTCTGCTATAGGATTTTCCTTACAAATTATTTTATAAATTTTATACTAAGAAATAATGATTCCTGATTTTATTTTAATTTGTAGATTGGGGATTCTCTGCTATGTTTTTGGTTAATTTTACTTCTTGGCAGAATGATTAACTTTCACTAAAAATCAGTAAGTCAGTTAATGAATTACACATTCATCAGTGAATCTCAGTTGCAATAATGCTTTTACATTAATCTTGAACAAAAAATGAAAGTTAAGCCCCAGTGTAAGAGTTATACTATTTTGGATATCACTTTATGATTTTTCAGATAAACCTGAGAAAAAGAATCCTTTTGCAAAATACATAATATTTGACAATGGTTTTGATGTTAGTTTCAATGCCCTGAAATTTCACAAAAGGGATTGAGCAAAGCAAGAGACAGGATTTTAGGATCTCTAATCTTGAAGAATGTCTACAGTTTTTTAGGAAGATTATAAAGAACCATTGTACTGCAAACTGCAACTCCTGAACCACTTATGCTCAAGATAGTGTTACATACTTCTAAGATATCAGTAGCCTAAAGAAAAGTGACCAGAGGGAAATGCAGAAATAAGCTAGAAACCAGAAGAAAATCTGTATTTGGAAAGTATTACCTGACTAAATGTTGTTTCTGAACCCAAAGAGATAAAATTGCAATCAAAGAACAAAATAATAAGGCAAAACTGTTGGAGAAAATAGAGTAGGTATGAAATGACTTTTAACAAAATGAACTTTGAAGGTTGAGCTGATGGATTGCATTCTTTTATGATGCACATTGCAGCAAACCGCTCCTGCGAATTAATTCTTTTTGCATATTAATAGACTGATTGTGAGTATAGTTTCTGTGTTATGAATTATCAAAATTGATCTTGAAAAAATAAGCTTTTAGCTGTTAGAATTTAGTTTTAAAATTATCAAAACTTAAGCTAATTTCCATATTTAAATGAAAAATGCTTTTATTTTCTGAGTTGTGCTAACCCAAATTATAAAAGTGAATTAACTAGAGTAGGTTATGATAAAAAGGACAGTCAAAATATATACAATTTCACATGAAGTAAAATTTTATTTCTTGCTCATATGCCAATTTAGGCTCTTGCTCACATACAGGTTCAGGTCAGGTTCGTATAGGTCAGATTTTGATGTTGTGGGAAGAACATTAGTTTTCATCCTGCTGAGCCTGGAGAGGACAGAATTGTGAAAGGAATCCATCAGAATAATTGTCACTCAGAAATTGCAAAACACAATTAATCTTTTCTATAAAAAGAAAGAGAGGATAGTTACAGTTGACTCCATGCTGATTGAAGCCCTGTCACAAAGCAGATGTTTGAGTTATCTTGAAAACAAGATAAAAGGGCATGTTAAATATGAAGCCTGATGTTCCCATGAGAGAAGAGTGTTGTTCAATTCCTAACAATCCTGGCCATAAAGAGTGTATATCTGTCTTTTGTATTTTAAAATTTAGGTTCTTTGAATAGATGTAACATTTGGACACCTTTTTGAGTTGCAAAATTTTAATAAGATTTTTTTTTAAAGAGAGACATTTATCTACATTAATCCCTGCTACTACTGAAGTGGAGCTTACAAAGGTCAGAAGCAGATAGAGCCTTCCTGCCCTCCCTTTTGCTGCCATAGCTGTGGAGCAGCAGGGTCCTCCCAAGGAAAGGGCAAGAGTGATGTTCCCTATAATGAATAGTGCTATTTTGTTACTTGACCTTCAAGACAGCCTGAAAATTTCAAGTCAGAGATCAGTGTGGAAAAGCAAATTGATGAGCAGGAACACTGTAATCTTAGCTGATAACTCTTTAAAAGGTAACCAAAGCTATTTCTTTGGTCCCTAGATACTGGTAAACTTTTCAAAGAACTTTAAAAAAAAATCTGGTAGAACACAAGGAAAAGTGAACATTTTGAGTGGCCTTTTCAAAACCGTGAGTCATATTAAGAATCCCAATGCACTCTGTCTTCACAAATGACTATTCAAAATGCTGAATATGCCCTAAATTAGAAATGAGTATCATATAAGACTATGTGTAAGCAAGAGCTTTGAGAACAGGGAATTACTGTAAGTCCAAGAGAAGACCAGAAAGAAAAAAAAAATTATAAAGGGCAAAAGAGGAACAAAAGTCCACCAAAGGCAGAACTCAATTAACAGAATTTGGGTCTAAAGCAGCATTTTCAGATATAAGTCTTGGGAAAAACACAAACTTACAACAAAAGCAAAATAGAAAACTGAAAATATCTGAAGTTAAAACCTCAAAAAGTAGAAACAGGAATAAAAAGGTTTGTACTAGTTATTTTTATTTTCTTATAATTTCTACTGTCTTAAATCCTTTTGGCTTTATATGAACATGAAAATATTTCTTTTTGTATTGCATTTTAGGTTTTGGGGTACATGCGAAGAACATGCAAGATTGTTGCATAGGTACACACATGGCAGTGTGATTTGCTGTCTTCCTCCCCATCACCTGTATCTGGCATTTCTCCCCATGCTATTTTTCCCCAACTCCCCACCCCACACTGTCCCCTCCCTATTTCCCCCAGACAGACTCCAGTGTGTGATGCTCCCCTCCCTGTGTCCATCTGTTCTCATTGGTCAAAACCCACCTATGAGTGAGAACACGTGGTGTTTGATTTTCTGTTCTTGTGTCGGTTTGCTGAGAATGATGGTTTCCAGCTTCATCCATGTCCCCACAAAGGACACGAACTCATCGTTTTTGATTGCTCCATAGTATTCCATGGTGTATATGTGCCACATTTTCCTTGTCCAGTCTATCATCGATGGGCATTTGGGTTGGTTCCAGGTCTTTGCTATTGTAAACAGTGCTGCAATGAACATTCATGTGCATGTGTCCTTATGGTAGAATGATTTATAATCCTTTGTATATATACCCAGTAATGGGATTGCTAGGTCAAATGGAATTTCTATTTCTAGGTCCTTGAGGAATCGCCACACTGTCTTCCACAATGGTTGAACTAATTTACACTCCCACCAACAGTGTAAAAGTGTTCCTATTTCTCCACATCCTCTCCAGCATCTGTTGTCTCCAGATTTTTTAATGATTGCCATTCTAACTGGCGTGAGATGGTGTCTCACTGTAGTTTTGATTTGCATTTTTCTAATGACCAGTGATGATGAGCATTTTTTCATATGTTTGTTGGCTTCATGTATGTCTTCTTTTGAAAAGTGTCTGTTCATATCCTTTGTCCACTTTTGAATCGGCTTGTTTATTTCTTGTAAATCTGTTTTAGTTCTTTGTGGATTCCGGATATCAGCTATTTGTCAGATGGGTAAACTGCAAAAATTTTTTCCCATTCTGTTGGTTGCTGAGTCACTCTAACAACTGTTTCTTTTAACATGCAGAAGCTGTGGAGTTTGATTAGGTCCATTTGTCTATTTTGGCTTTTGTTGCGAATGCTTTTGGTGTTTTGGTCATGAAGTCCTTGCCTATGCCTATGTCCTGAATGGTTTTGCCTAGATTTTCTTCTAGGGTTTTTATGGTGTTAGGTCTTCTGTTTAAGTCTTTAATCCATCTGGAGCTAATTTTACTGTAAGGTGTCAGGAAGGGGTCCAGTTTCTGCTTTTTGCACATGGCTAGCCAGTTTTCCCAATATCATTTATTAAACAGGGAATCCTTTCCCCATTGCTTGTTTTTGTCAGGTTTGTCAAAGGTCAAATGGTTGTAGATGTGTGTTGTTGCCTATGAGGCCTCTGTTCTGTTCCATTGGTCTATATCTCTGTTTTGGTACCAGTACCATGCTGTTTTGATTACTGTAGCCGTGTAGTATATAGTTTGAAGTCCAGTAGTGTGATGTCTCCAGCTTTGTTCTTTTCGCTTAGGATTGACTTGGCTATGCAGGCTCTCTTTTGGTTCCATGTGAAGTTTAAGGTGGTTTTTTCCAGTCCTGTGAAGAAGGTCATTGGTAGTTTGATGGGGATAGCATTGAATCTGTAAATGACTTTGGGCAGTATGGCCATATTCATGATACTGATTCTTCCTAACCAAGAGTGTGGAATGTTTCTCCATTTGTTTGTGTCCTCTCTTATTTCGTTGAGCAGTGGTTTGTAGTTCTCCTTGAAGAGGTCATTTACATGTTCCTTGTTAGTAATATTCCTAGGTATTTTATTCTCTTTGTAGCAATTGTGACTGGCAGTCCGTTCTTGATTTGACTCTCTTTATGTATGTTGTTGGTGTATAGGAATGCTTGTGATTTTTGCACACTGATTTTGTATCCTGAGACTTTGCTGAATTTGCTTATCAGTTTCAGGAGATTTGGGACTGAGATGATGGGGTCTTCTAAATATACAATCATGTCCTCTGCAAATAGAGACAATTTGACTTCCTCCTTTCCTATTTGAATACCCTTTATTTCTTTTTCTTGCCTGATTGCTCTGACTAGAACTTCCAATACTATATTGAATAGGAGTGGTGAGATAGAGACACAAAAAAAAAACCTAAAAAAATCAATAAATCCAGGAGCTGGTTTTTCGAAAATATCAATAAAATAGACCAGTAGCCAGATTAATGAAAATATTTCTAAGAGGGGAAAAGACAATCATTGTAAACAATTTTTATGTGGATTTAAAAATATATTTAGATAAAAATCATTATGTGTATATACAGTATAAAGATAAAAATATTAAAGTATTTTATGAAGTAAACAATACAATTGGCTTTATCCAAATAACAATATTTAATCAGTAATTTTGTTTCAGTGAATATTTCTGTAATTCACGTTAAGTCATAGTAAATGGTAAAAGGGCAATGAAGTTATAATGTGAAATTTGTATCAATTCATATGGCATTTTTTCAATAAACTTATGTTTTCTGCTCCCAAGTAAAGCAACTAAAGACAAGGAGCATTAAAGGGTTAGTCCTGGCAAACTCAGCGCTGTGCACAATGCCTGTTCAACCCCATCGTCTTCCTTTTCTGTGTGTCTTAGTGTGGCCACATGTTCTGATCAGAAAATTCTGCTCACACTGTTTTCCCCGATATTTGCGCATTTTGCCCTTGTTTTTATAACTGAGTAGTGCAATACGTTCCTTATACACTATTTGAACAAGCTATTTTCACCTTTTTCTTTTGTCAAGGTAAACCCTTTTATTAATTCTAACACATTGTAACTTCTTAGCAGTTTCGGATGCTGTTTTAGCTGCACTGGTATTTTTTATTACATTTATCAGGATAACATAGGCATTACTTAACGTTCTTGTTCCAAAAATTATTTGGATTTTAGTCAGTCTGCCTCAAAACTGTTTCCTCATAGGTTTTGATATTTGTCATGTACATGTTTGTATCATACTATTTTGTTAAAAATATGCATGTTGCCTTGTTAATTTTCTGTATATAGTAAAACGAACAATTAGGATTTAGAAATGGTACTATAATTGACATCTACTACAATACTTGACTACAGCTAACATTATTGTTAGTAAAGTTAAATGAGAATGTCAAGTATCATTAACCCTAATTTTTAAATTTTTTTATGCTATAAAAATACTCTCCTAGGAGGTCAGTATAAGAAAACATACAAAAGCCAGGTGCAGTGGTGTATACCTGTAGTCCCAGCTACTTGGTAGGCTAAAGCAGGATTGCTTGAGGCCAAAAGTTTGAGGCTACAGTGTGCCATGACTGTGCCTGTCAATGCCACTGAACTCCATCATGGGCAATTACTAAGCCCCCATTTCTTAAGAAAAAAATGTTTTAATACAAAATAAAATATGTAGTTAAAGCCTACTTTTCAGTTATCTTCTTATTTTGTTCAATATAAATTCTTGACTCTTGACAATCAATTCCTACTTTAGAAATGAAGCTGAAAATCTGCACTGAAACCACAAGCTTTCATGAGTTATAATTATATGTTAGATTGTGCCTCATAACACATATAAGGGTAATTGTATGTTTGAATCCGTTCTACAGAATTGCATCCAGGCTACCATTGTATTTACGGTAATAGCATTGGCTTTTGTTTAAATTGTAAAGAAAACAACACTAAAGGTCATGGGAGAAGAGAAAAATTATAATTATTTAATTCCTTATATGTAATAAATTAAATAGGTGTGTAAAAGGCTTGGATATGCTGGTTTGGAGTAAATAGAAAATTATTCTGAGAGAAAACCTAGAAGGAAACTGAATACAGTTCGAAACTCCTCTCCATCTATCACAAACTAATGATTACAT